GGGGTCTTTCTGAGGGAAGGAAATATTAGAATGTTGTAATGTTGCCACGGCCACTGCTCCGAGCTTGTACATTTGGTTTCAGGGAAAGAACTGGTGGACAATCCAGCTACTCCTCTCCAGTTCAGCACTTAATCTAAACTGAAGAAGAGTGCAGGGTTGATATTTTCTTTGGAGATGTGCACTGCAAGCCCCCAGACTTTGCACCTGGGCCCAACCAAACCTAGAAATCTTTACATGGCTCTTCATGAAACTCTTCCCAAAAGGAGTTGGCAGGGATTTTAATCCCCAATCAGCCAGGTTTGTTTGTCTGACATTGAGAGACAAAAAACTCTAACACCAAGGTCTACCAGAAAAGCTCTTTACTGACATGTGCACATAGCAATGTAGAGCAGCCCATGCTTCCAAAACAGATCAGCCAACCCCCTTTAACAATCCACAGGTTTTTTCTACTTTTAAGAGCAAGTCCATCAGTCCTTGGTCATCTTGATCTCTCCCCATCTACCCTGTGATCTTTCCTTCTGCCCATTGTTAACCTTTGAAGGTAGGGCATGCCAATTCCACACTTATCTTACCAGTGGTCAGACAAGCAGACAGATGCCAGTCAACAATGCAAAAATTGTGAATTTCTATTACTGATAGACAAGGTTTACAACTTTAGGGGATTTTCAGCTATTCTAAAGATCGGAACCAGTTAAAGCCACTTTCCAGGTCACGGCCTCAACAAGGTTACAAGCCGTTCAAGCACCGGGGATCAGAAATTTTATATCACTCTGATCTCAGTCCAATTAACCTCCACCCCCATTGCTTTTAGGCCTATGCTCCTGTCTAGTCAGGTTGGAAGTGAGGGCCTAACCTCCCTTCATTCCTCAAATGGCTTTCTTTCACTTCCAATCTACCATCCCTTCATCACTGCCTGTTACTGGCACACCTGGCTACTGCCTGCATCTTTGCCTTCTGCACTGCTTTATCCCATCAGTGATGTTCAGTTATGGAAAACCTCTGAAGCCATGCCAGAGAGAGGAATGTGCATGGTTGGTACAATGAGGACTACTCCAGAATAGTTAAATGTAGGATTGCAGTCTAAGGCAATCCTAAAGTTGTCAGAACTACAGATGAAAGGCTGACAGAGAACAAAGAAAGAGCAAAGTGTGAACTGGGAAGCTTCCTGCTCACTAATCATACTTTTAACCTTTCCAATTATCTCCAAACTGGGTAAATTGGATTCCAGTCATTCCCTGCTCCCATGCCATCCCTTCACAGTTCTGTGCCTTTTCAATGGGAATTACTCCTGAATAAATGTGTTTTAAAATTCAACCTTCACCTCTCCTGCATTAACTTCAGCTGGCCATATTTGCCTACTTGTCTACATATTCATACCATAAGATATAAACATTTGCAAGCATAGAAAAGAATGTAGATTTTAGTTTGATAGAAATAGCCACATGACAGCTTGTGAGGAGTTATTAAACTGCTGTCGCTATTCATTTGCAAATATGTTATTTTTATGGGTTCTCATTCTTTTCTTTGCAAATTATGAAAGAAGATACTGAGTTCTCTATGAGTCATTTTATGAATGGATGCATAACATCATATAATCAGATCTATGTGTGTGCTGAGCCATTCTTCACCATGACTTTACTTCACCAATTATTTCAACATATGCCAAGGAATCCTGAATTGTAGGCTCAGGATAAATCATATAGATTTGCATACCATCACTATAATAATTTATCTTCATCAAACATTTTCAGACAGAGTACCAAAATCTTGTCCTACAATGATGAAAGACCTGACCTGCTTTCTCTGATTTAGAGCTTTTTTCAAACATTTCTCTCATGTTTGCACATGCTACTTTCAATCAGGATTAAAAATGTCATTCTTTGTAAAAAAAAAAAAAAAAAGAAGCAATTATGTGGTTTTGTTTTATATGCTACTTTCCCTGTTTCAAAGTCTTCCTTTTGATTATTTCTGTAAATTTCAAAAGTCTGTTTAAAATAGTCCCTTGGTTTTTATGGCAGATAGCATTAGTTTTTAAGATGAAACAGGTGTGTCTGAATGGGTCAACTATAAATCAAAACTCCCTATAATGTGGAGAGAACCCTAATTATGATCATTAAACAAAGATAGAAGAGTCTTGCTATTTCTTCTAGAAGGTGAATTGGGTACACTGGTAAATGCAGAAAGCCAGGTTGCTAAGCGCTCCAATAAATAAAACAGAAAGTATCTAAGCCAGCCACCTCTGTGAACTCTTGAAACGAAATGTTTTCTTTATCTGATGACAAGGTTGTGCATAAAAGAACAAATCAAATATCCTTCAATTCAGCCAATGTTTTCAAGACAAAAAAAAAAAAAAAAAAAAAA